AAAAGTCATGTAAAGAGGAATATGTAGAAGTGTTGGTCTGCCTGTGTTTCATCCCTTAGCTGTAAAAACAGAGAGTATAAGGGTAGGAAATCATCAGTACAGCTCCAGTTAAAAGTTGCAGTTTAAAACATTTCACACACCCTATGAAATACCAAACATGCATTAACAAGGCAAAATAATCTATTCCAACATCTACATAAATCTGCATAAATAAGATAGGCTCAAAATAAAGAATAAAATTTTGTCAGCAACTGAATCGATTGCAAAAGGCACATGACGATGAAACAAGAGCCGATTAAATTCCCTAGCAAATACCTTAGAATTTAAGCTGGTTGTAGCAATTTTTGCGAGCTGCTCATCGTTTTCAAGATCCACTGGCGAAGCCACCGACTCAAGAATCTTCTCGGCCTCAAGTGATGCTCGCTGGAATGATTCCGAGATTGTGGTCGCATGAATGCCTGGAAACAGAAGTATAAGCATCTTTTAAAGGAAAACGAGACAGATAGCCACAAGAGAGCCTCCCTGCGCGTACCAGTAGCTCAAAAGTTAATACTCCCTATACTCCAGTCTGCTGTAATTACTTCGGAATCCAACTTCTTCCCTTTGCTGATTATCACAAAGGGTTCTTACTAGCCGATTAATGATAATCATAGTGAACAGCTGGTAAATATGAAACAAAGAAAGCAGAACGGACGACAGTTTTTCATCGTTCTTTTTGTGAGAAACGTATTCTTCGATCTCCTCCAGCTACTGGGCACCCTTTCCTCATAAACCGAGAAAAAAGAACTCTTAGCACCTTTGTTGAGCAGTTTCTCGGCACCATCAAGCAATGCACCAGCAATTACGACAACAGTTGTTGTCCCATCACCAGCTTCTATATCCTGTGCTTTTGATAATTCCACAAGCTAAAAACAAAAAAAAAAACTTCTTCCCGACGAATAAACAAAATCCACTTCTACTACTTATTTAAATGAGTAAAAAAAGAGCCCTCTTTAAGGTCAAAAGTCAAAACCCTCTCCTCATTCGCTCTCTCTCTCTGAGAGAAGAAGATAACCAGGAAGTAGCCTGAGCGGTAGAAAAACAACAGCAAAATTGAAGAATGATATATAATAAACTTGCGATAAGACGAATATAATAATCATAAACCTGCGATAAAACGGGGTATAATACTCCGGTGTGAAAGACATCTGTTGGAACTTGAAAACCACTGGTCCAAATCCCCAAAACTCATGATTTTACTACGATAAAGTTTTACCATTTTTGCAGTAGGATGGATAACACTCATGCGCTTCAGGATTGTTGCACCATCGTTTGTGATTGTTACTTCACCTTTTCCCGTTTCAATCATTTTATCCATTCCTGAAATAAACAAATCTTACGAAAGATATCTTCGGCACGTGCGTGGGAGCATCCCCGGGAAAATAATTCGCATACCAACTGTCGGGGAAGTCTTGGGCTTTCGGTGTAAATTTCTAGGTACAAGTGTCGCGAACGAAGCCTTTCCTCAAAAATTGTTCCGAACCGGGAGGGGATCGAACCACCCCTGCCCACGTTTCGGACGCAATGTCTTACCACTACACCACCGGTTCTTGTACTCTTGACTCAGTCTGAAGCACTCCACTGTGTATCTGCCTTTCAAGACAAGATATACCCTTCTTCTCTCTTTCTTCGTGGCAAATTCTTGGCTGGCTTTTCGCGGGTTTTCCGCAACAACAAATACCGTTAAATTGGTTCAATGATCCACAAAAAACTATGGCACGTTTTCTAGAAAGCAAACGCTCGATGAGCTGTGCGAATTGGCTGCAAGCACCTTTGTACTGAGGAACCAAACCCATCGTTTTTGGATATTTATTAAATTCCAGAAAATAAAAATTAAACTTTTTCCGAATGAACTTGAAAAATGGGGTCAACTGCAGCACATAGGATAGTTCTGTTCGGGAAAACCCGCAAAAAGCCGGCCAAGAAGCCGCTACGCAGAAAAAGAGAAGGAAAGCGTATGTTGCCTTGAAAGGCTGATACACAGTAGATGTGCTGCCACGCCGAAACTAGAACACAAGTACCGATGGTGCAGTGGTAGCGCACTGCGTCCGGGCGTGAAGGGGAGTGGTTCGATTCCTTCCCGATACAGTACGATTTTTGCAGGAAGGGCTCATTCACGACGGGTTCCTCAATTCTGCAACAAGCTGCTTTAACCAATACTGCATCACTTGGTGCTTAACTTCCGTTCAAAATCATAAAAATAAACATATTTTATCAGTGTCACTATTCAAAAACTAATTAATATTTGGCAAAAAGTCCCTCAAACGCATGCAAAACTGGCTTACCTTTGGGGCCCAAGCTCGTACGAATCGCATTTGCAACTGCTTTCGCTGCACAGATGTTGCTGCTTCGCACACTATCCGGCTTATCTTTATCCTGAAAACATAAGAATTAGTAATTTCTTTTATGTATTCCACACTTGATCAGTTAGTAACTTTTAATCTTCTACAGCTTACGCAGTTCAAATTCACTAAGCACCCAGATCCAACATTTCAGGTGCAGTTAGTTAGTAACTTTCTTCTCTCAAACTGTTCTTTCATGCGGTAATCTTTCGCGCCTTTGCCATTTAGGCTTCCAAGGTCAATCTGATTGCTACATTTGGTTTTTTAAGGATTTTTCAAAAAATTTCATCCCCGGGAAACAGATCTGAAGCGTCGTATCCAGTAACTGCTGTACAGCCGAAAAAAGGAACCTTAAAAGCCGTCGGTGGATTCTGGCGTGGAGCTTTTGGTGGAGCAATAGTCGCTTTTGCCATTCTTCCGGAATGAGATCACTGAAAAAACCAACGTCAAAATCTTCAGAAAAACCAAGAAAACTTTTTCAGAATAAAAAATCGCGATAGAAATCTCTCAGAATATCCAAAGAAAACTGGCAAAATTGGAAACTGTAGTAACGGCGTTAGATGCTATGGCAAGTATGAGTTTAAGGCATACGCAGGTAGCCAGATGAACCGAAACATTCCTATTCAGATTTTAATCTTATTTTATTCAAATTTCCCTTTTTTAATTCCTTACATCTTTCATAAACACATACTAACTAAAATTAAAATTAAAATAACTCCGGGGAGTGGGGGGAGGGGGGAGGACACGGATTAGCACAAGATAGAGGAGAGGAACAAGGGTGTTAGTGAGG